GGCGGGTAGGGACCCCCTCAAAACACACGCAATATCATACGATAGCCAATACAATCCAACAGACCACAGGAGTAGGGTATTATGTTGTGTTGACGGCCCGAACCTGTCTAACTCGTATGTCTCTGTTGCCTTCTTGTTCTCGATTACACGCATCTCTGCCGATCAATCTACCTTCGTAGGATACCCCTTGGAGGACTGCCGACAATATTCTGTCGACATTACCCTTCGATTCCTATCAAAATTTGTACGGTTGCATCGGTGCGGCTCGATCTCATACAAATTTTGATACAGATTAATTATTGGTTAAATTTATTAAGATTGGTAGGGTTTCCTTATTGTTTTTAATAGATTTGCTAGTTATCGATCTTGTTATAAATAGTATTCTTACTATTTGTAACAATATCACCCCTTGCCCGATTAAGATTGAAATGAATCGGCTTTATATTCCTTTGAATCATAGTCTTGTTGCTTTACTCTGTTTACATCTCACTTTGATGATGGTTTCGGTTAGATTAGCCTTTTGCTCCAATCTTGATCGAAGATAGCATGTGGTCAAAGCATGTTTAACCCTAAGTGAGCTTGCTAGTTGACGATCGCCTTTGCTTTCATGATCGTAGCATGTTTTCACAATTCCGTTAAGCGTGTTTAGATTCGTGTTCTTCGAAGGTTTAACCTGTTATCTTTATCATGGATGCATCGGTCCGGCTCGAACCCCACTGTTAGAGATAGTAGATTGGATCTGATAGGTGTATGGACTTATCCACGTTTAATGTTGAGTGCTTGCATGTTATGAGTTTACTTTCACTGGAATCGGCAGTTTTAGCCGATACCCTGCCTATTGAGAATATATTGGCTATTTACATGCTTTTACTTGTTTTTACCTTGGTTAAAAGCTAGTATGTTTCTCAATTAATATGAAAGCTTTCACGCCTATTTATTACACATTTGCATGTTCTTATGATCATCGGCTATTTAGATATGTACAATTGAGTAACCCGATAATTGCCGATATGTTCGTCTTACTTATCATGCATCACGAACATGCTGGATATCGACTATTTAGTCGATAGCCTTATCTCATCGGCTACTTAGCCGCACATTTAGAACTGTCTGGACAAACACCGGCATGTTCTACCTTAAATTACTGATCAATCTTTCCTCCTTGTCAATTACAGGGTCAAATTGACTGGCACGCCCTAGGTCACGACCATCCGGTCCGGTGTCCTCCTAAATCCAGAGAGAGCTCGGGATCTGCTCCACGCGGTTTCTCTCGGCTTGCTTCATGTGCCGCGGCGAGTCACTTTTTGCCTTCTACACACCGCTAAAAAGGGTCTGATTGTAGAACAATGCTCCATCGATTATCCTAAGTTTTGAATAAATTTAAATAAGATTTTTTTTAGCAATGTCATATACAAAATATGTATCATTGTATCTATTATGGAATATACTTAAGTATTAAATATGGATACTGTTATTTAAAACTCAATCAAATTTAAATTATTTTGACTCATACAGTCATACTAAACTCATGATTATATCCTTTGTAAGAGGAAGGTAACAGTACCACCTCCATCCACAAAAGAATATAGTTCTAGCTTCATTCTTAGTCAAAATATCTAGAGTTTGATCAAACTTATAGATGAATTAAAGTATTAACATTTATAAGGCCCAATAAACATTAAATAAAAATATAGTTTATGATAAATCTAATAGTGCTTATATTATATAACATCATGTAGTTGATCCTTTTTTGTATAGTTGATTAAAATCAAGATAAGTTGACTTGACGCTGTGTTAGAATTCTATTTTTTTATAGACAGAGACAGTATTGGCGCCGTTCGCTGGTCTGGTAGCCGGCTGGTTGCTCTCACAAAACATTGTTCATCCATTCAGCCAAACAGTGTCTCTCTCACACAATCAGCCAGTTTCAGCCAAGATTCTGCCAGACGAACAGGGCTATTAATGTACTATAACAGTGACATCCATTTTTATTTATTTTTCGATAATGAACGAACAGTCACACCAATCCACAAAAGCGAGCCAGGACTGAAGGAAGGAGTAGATAGTTGGTAATAAGGATGCTTAACCTAGAAGAGTTTAGAACAGTCGGAGCGTCCTCGTCAGCGGCACAGGACGGATACAATACCATGCATCATGGATACAATACAATTCATGTGTTTTTTTTTTCTGTCAAACTGAACTGATTCTTGCAAGATTCCTGTAAAATTCTTACGTTCTAAACCAGCCCTCAACTTTTTTCCCCTAATGTTTCTCCTTTTTTTTCTTTGCACTGTTCATATATTTAGTACCCTCTATCTAGGAAAACGTGCAATTATAGGTTACGTGCCAAACAAAGTAGTTCACGTTTAACCTAATTTCTAGTGAATAGTATTTATACTTATGGTTTTAAATTAGTTTATTATCAAACTAAATTTTGTAATTAATCTATTGATATTTATTTGATATCATAAATATTTATAGTTTTTTATCTATAATTGATCAAATTTATAATGTACTAAAACATGACACTGTATTAGAATTGCATGTTTTCTTGGACGGAGGGAGCAAGTAGCTTCGTTGTCTTTTGTGTTGGTGTTTACATTGGGTGTTTATCAGCTCTTCTACTCTGTTGTAGTTCGGCTTATAGCTTTGCAGGAATCTCAAGCATGTCCTAAGTTCATATTGTATCCAAGAGCTTGCTAGTTTGGTTCCAAAAATTACCAAGCAAAATTAAGACATGCCTAAAAGTTTTTTGAGTAATCAATTAGTTCGTTGCCAAAAGATTAAATCACTAGATCCTTCTTTAATCTCTCAAGAACAAAAAGTGATTGCTGCCATGCCATAGCACCCGGCCAATATGGTTACAAATCGACTCCGTGCCATCACAAGATGCACGGCAGAGCCCGCAGCTTGGTTGAGAAAGTCGGTTTCTTAACGCGGCGATCGATCAGCTGGTTGTGTTGCTTTCGCTGTTAGTGATGTCCAATTGTGTTTTCACGGGGCAGCGCCGCGGTGACGTGAGTACCTTGTGGCATGATAACTTAATTTGGTTTGAGGAATGAGTTGGTCTATCTTTTTCTCACTCTATACTCTCTTTTTTAGAATGGAATGAGTTGATGTATCATCATCTTATTCCTCACAAGCTAATAATTAGTATATATATGAGAAATATGTTAATTCTACCAAAATTCATGGAATGAACTCATGATGCATCATGTTGAAATTTAAATTAGACCCATGCCAATTTTAAGAGGCCTAATGATTAGCTTTGGCTCAATATAAGAATAACTTTATAAAGTGACATAATAATAATATCACATTGATTTTTCGATGAGATAAGACTACCCCTACTCCCTATAAAATAAGGGGTACATGGCCGATTAAGATATTCAACAATCCAATCATCATTTTACATCTACAACTTTTTATATCCTCTTTCCAACCCCATGATGTTGTTCATCTCTTGATCCGACGATCAAAGATGGCGTCCTAGGCTTGCCAGCCGATCTAGGGTAACCCGTCAATGTCATTGCCCCGATGGGGTTTCACCCGGACGAGATCTTCGACGACAGTTCCTTTGCTAGTTTGCTCGTAAACTAGCCATTCTTCGTCACGCAAGCACGATTAGTTACCCTTTGCTAATTTGCTTGGAAACTAGCCATTCTTTGCCACGTCAACGCGATAGCAAGCATTTGCTAGTTTGCTCAAAAACGTTCTTTGCCAAGTAAGCGCGATACCTATCCTTACTCGTAAACCTCTCCGTTCTTCATCACGTAAGTGTGATCCTGTTGTGTTCTTTGATCCGTGGTGACCCTAATGATCTACCCTAGCTAGTGTGTGATTCAATACGACATCGACACATCACCTCATGAAGTACGGGCTGACTCCACAAACCAAACACACCATAGATTAAAAAGACGGGAGAGAAGTGCTAGCAACTACAAGTCTCTCGGCCTTTTGGGCCACAAGCCGTGCGACCCACATATCCGCCAACAATCTCAGCGTCAGGCCACTGTACCATTCTGGCCCACAAAGCCCGTGTTTTCACGCACGGGCAGCGCGGCCCTACTTACACGAACCACACCGACGGGCCGGGCAGGCCGACCGACCAACGGCAATGCCACGGCAGGCGGACCTCGCCCTGCGGCATCTCGCCTCGCGGTCGCTGGTGGGCGCCGCGGCATCGTCGGCGGGACGCGACGGAGGACGGGCCCTTCTTGCCATTGGCCATTGCCGACGAGCACAGCTGTGGCTGCGGCCTGCCGTGCATACACACTGCCGTGCTGCCCATGCTGTCCACACGTACAGTCCGTAAAGCAACCGTACGTCTATACGTCTACACCAGCAACCAGGCCACCATCCATCCATGTCGCCTTCGCCATCGCCGATCGACATAATATAGTGACCCAAACCAATCCACCAACGAGCACAGAATGCCGACAAGCACTGTCATAACAATCTGTATTAGCAGACCACCAGAATCACAGTTGGTGGCATGTACAGAATACCAAGCTCGTCACTGAGCCACGGGGTTAGTACTCACTACTTCAGTACAGAATGATTCCCAACCATTCGGACAGCAACTAGCACCATATCTCTCTGGCATTTCTGCCCTAGATCAGATGGATGTCTTGCCAACAAAGAAAGAAAAAAACACAACACTTGGCATGGCGCTCGGCAGCCGGCCAGCATGCCAGCCCAGCATTCACCAATCAAAAAGGCACCAGACGGGGCGCCAACCAGCAGAGTACAGCCAAATGGAAGCTACAAAAGGGGGGGGGCGAAGAGGATGGAAGGAAGCAACTGAGGCAGGGCGGTCTTCTCTTCCATTTTGGTGAAGGTTGGTTTGTCTCTCCTCAGAAGTCGGCAGCGGGGCGGTGGTGGTGGCGAGGTCAAAAATGGCTCTGGCTGTTGGCAGCTTGAGGCGTCAGCTTCACGGATGGTTGGTTGGTTAATGTCGACGACATGGTTTGGGGTCTGGTGGTGCTCAGCTCCATGTCCTATGAACAGAACATCCGCTTCTGCAACATACAAGGGTGTTCAGATTAGCAAACAACTGAAACTGACGAGTAATTCAGTTCAGAACATTGGAAGAGAATGAAGGAATGTTCGGTATACTGTACCTTGACTCTAGACGACTCCTGTACAGATTCCAGAGTCTCCACCAATGCTTTCTGCTTCGCCACGGTCGCATTCAACGTCTGCAATCAAACAAGTAATGAGAAGGATCAGGACTTGCAAAACGCTAGATTTTCAAATGGCGCAAAATAAATCAACATGTATTCAGATGATCGATCGCTATGTTATGATATTTGAGACATGTGGAGCCTAGATTTTCATAACAGAGCGTAAGAGCTTACTCTTTTGGTCTTCTCAAGGTCAGCCTCAACAGATCTGATCCGCTCGAATGAGCTCAACAGAATGAGTTCCTTGTCCTCTGGGATCTGCGGCGGTTTGGTGGCAAGGTGATTGTACAGCGATTCGAGATTGTCGAGACGCTGTAGGCAGGCACACACCTCTTCATCACTGACGACTCGAGGCTTTGGCTTCTCTGCTGCTGGGGTTGCTGGTGGAGCAGGGCGATTGACGTTCTCAAGCCTCCTCTCAGCTCTAGAGATGAAAAGCCGGATGAAGGAAGAGAGCTTGATCAAAGCTGTAACTACTAGCTTCACCACATTTTCCCAGCCCCTTTGAACAACAGTGCCGTTGACATTAAGAGCATTGTTCCCTGAAAAAAAAAACATTTTAACAATGGCTGCAAATAATAGAGGCAGTAAAAAAGACACGTTTGCTTCTTCCAGCAAAGGTTCCTACTAAGATGTACTGCACAACAAAAGAAAGAACCCAGACAAAGTAAACCACGGAAAGAAAATTAAGCATATTATCAGAGCTATTAATTGCATATCAAATAAGGTTAACAACACATGGAAATTATAAACTGCAATATGTTTAACGATGTACATCCACCATGATAATTCAACATATGAAGTATACATCATAGTAAATGAATCAGTCCTACATGAGGACACCATGTACCATACAGCACACCGGGCAGGTACCACACCTCTGTTCCCAAGTTATATTATGACAATGACAGCCATCTTCGCAGTAGAAATTCCACTATCATTTACTAGAGTTTTATGTCTGTGGTACCAGGAATATATGGTTACTGTGACATGACACGAGAAAATCATACACAATCTTCAATGTCCTTACTAAAATTTTAACAAGCAAAACTCCATTAACCAAAATGATAGGAAAAGAAGATACCTAAATCACAAGGCCTTCTGTTGGTGGAATATTGCCTGAAATCAGCCATTGGTTTCTGCACCATTTCAGTAATTCGTCGCACTCCATGATAAGATTCAGGAGCCATATCCGGGTGACTTTGATCATCACAGCTTAAGTATGTTGCACAATCTGTGCCCTTTACCTTTGGCAGAAATAAATACCAAAAAATCAATATACTGCAAGGTACCATGGACACAAGTAGGACAGCATGACAAATGCAGTTCATAAGACTAATAGCACAGGGAAAATCAGATCCAACTGTGAGAACAAAGGAAAATGGATAAACTTACTTCCTCATGAACTGGAGTCAAGCAACCATAGTCAGAAACTTTATGAACAAATGACGGACCAAAATCATCAACATCAGATCCTGATTCAGCATTTGATGTATCACTTAACATGCCCTGCCACTGAAAGAGCAAAATATAGTAGTAGTTTTAGAACAAGAATCCAGAAAAGCAATCAGCTTCCTGCAATACTACTAATGAAGGCTGTAATTTTAGAATCTTACTTTCATCTGTTCCAGCCGAAAGGAAGACTTTCTTTCGTCCCCCTCAGAAACAGGTTTGATTTCCCTCACGCATCCAGCTTCCAAATTGTGGATCAGCTACAAATAATGTCTAACAGTATATAGAAAAACAAGGACAGCATCTAGATGAACTATTTTCATGTAAACACAACACAGAAAATGGCACCTTCAATATATAAGGATCATTCCACGGCCCTTTGTTCGATCCAAGACAACCACCCTTGTCACTACATGTGCATGAACCACCAAGGAATTCTGGCAACTCACTGAGAAAATACAGGCATTATTAAATGCTGAGGGCTAAAGCTAGGAAACAGCTAAAGAGAACAAGTTCAGACGAACACAGCTAAGCTACCCATGAGTACACACCTACCTCGAATCTATTACTTCAAGAAGCCTACTCTGGTAGTTCGAACCGAGCACCTACACAGACAAAACAAAAACTAATGATTGTGCTACAATACAAGTGTCCACTAAGGATGGTATATAGTTTATGGAACAACTTACATGAATCTTGGATGAAGTTTTTGGGTCAAGGAAGCCCTTCACACTATTCCAGATCCACTTGAATCCACTGCCAGCGTTCACGACAAACATTTGGTGGAGTGTCTGCATTTATCACATTTTACTTGATTGGATCACCAGGCAAAAATCCTAACAACATATTACCCAGTCAAAAGTATAATTACCTCAGGATAATAGTCACTATCAATCTTCTGCATCCGGTGTACTAGTTCTCTTGCAGTCTTGGAGAAATTCTTAAACCCCTGCAGAAAACAATCAAATTGAATAAACTACAAACAGATCTGCATTCTGTAAGCACAGTTCAAACTGAACCATTCACATACCACACCCTGGACGTCCAAGATGGTAGTGGTGGAGTCAATGTGCCTCTTAGCAGCCAATGTGCAGGCAGGGAACCTCTCCCTGAAGGCCCTCTCAAACTCCTGGACATGGTACTTGATGTAGCGATCCACCGACGTGATCTGCATGAGCTTGTTCGGATCCACCTTCCCTAGCCTCTCAATGTACACCGGCCGGCCTTCACGGTCAACACCATGGTAGCCCTGAGGGTAGTAGCGCAGCACATCATCCAGTTCCTCAAAAACAAAATCCTGAAGGCATGGAGTCACAGCAGATTATTAGTACATCAAACAAAGACTAGTATTTCCCAAGGATAGCTTGCAGTCCAGACTTAACAGTCATCACCTCAAGGATCGTGTCAGTTCCGAACTCCTTCCTCCATTTCAGCATCTCTGACCACATCTGCATTGCCTTCTCGGCTTCGAACTTCCTGGCCTTCAGGAACCTGAACCAAACATTCACAGGGCGAAGCGAGTTTCAGATACTGGCATTCTACAAACCACGTCCAAAGGGAACGCAGGCAACGAAATAAAGGGACGGGATTTAAAATGTGACCTTAGCATCATGTGGTAGTCATCATGCTTCTCGGGGAGGAGGCGGTGCGCCGCGAGGCGCTCCCGGAAAGAGGCGACGTCGCGCTCCTCCTCGGCGTCGCGGACGTCCTCGATGGAGATGGCCGCCGGCGGGAAGCGGAAGTCGACGCGGCGCCTCCCTCGCTTCTTGAGCGCGTGGATGGCCTTCCGCCGCAGCGAGCCGATCTTGCGCCGCCGCCGCTCATCCTCCGAGTTGCCGCCGCACAGCGATATCTCAATGTCCTCCGCATGGCTCACTGCAGACACAGATTGGCACGGCGCCGCGCTAATCATAACAACAAAAAGATGCAATTTTTTTTTCCAAAACAAAGAACAGGAATCGCTTCTCCCCATACCAGACATCTTCGCCGCCGTTAATTCTGGATTCCTGGATAGCCCAGCTGAGACGTCGCGCTCTGGCACCCAATCTTCAATTGCCACTGTCTGCGAGAGAGAAAAGAAACACCACCAACGATCAGTTCGCTGCAAAAATCATTAAAAAAAGAACGCATTTGGTAGCGCGGGCGGGCGGGCAGCAGTGTGCGAGCCCTGCGCCACGGCCAGATCTGAGCAGGAAGAAACGGAGGGAGGCGAGGACTAAATCTCGTTGCCAAAAAAAAGGATTGCAGCTTCCAGGCCCTGAGGAGGAACCTGCATTGGTTACTACTAAAAGCAGCGTGGCGTCCGAGTCGCCATAAATTCCACCTAGAGGAACAGCATGTACGTATCGACAGGGGAGAGAAGGCGCCGCTCATTTACTCCTCCCAGCCCAGGAGGAACTTCTTCTGGTCAGAATAAAAACGAAAGATGAAGCCTGACATGACAGCTCCAACCCGTCGCCGCGGACCCCCCGGAAACAAAACAAACACGCGAACAGCGAAACAGATCGTCGCGCAAAACAGATCCCATCCACGAAACAAAAACCAGTAAAAAAAATCTCCCGCGGGAGAGGACAGGAGAGGATGAGAACTCACATTTTTGTTTTGGGTGTATTGGAATCAATCAAGAACCTTGGCAGCTAGGGCAGAGGCGAGAGATTGGAGGCTTGGAGCTCTCTCTCTCTCTCCCTTCCCTGCTCCCGTGCTCGTCTGCCTCTCTCTCCAACTGTGCCGCTCTCTGTCCTCTCAGTTTGCTCCTTCTGGCGATGGTAACTGGAGGGGAGGTGGGCAGTGCCTCGGCTGCTTTATAACCGTATTTTATTCGCTGTACGCATATACACAGATACCCGTAGACGAGGAGGAGTATACGCGTACAGTCCGCTGTGCTTTTGTTGCAGAAAGAAAGATGAGACTCCGTGATGGACGATGGGCCAGCCAAAGGAATGATTTTTTTTTCAATCGCCTGAAAATGTGGCGAGTTCGCTTTCTGGCGGATGAGGTGGACCTGGATTTGCTCGTTGTTTCTTCCTCAGAGATATCTCCCTCCCCGCCCTTTTGGGATCGGGGGAGGATGGATGGATGGATAGATCCCCGTTTCGGTCAGTGTTTAATACCATCAAGATTCATGCGAAAATCTTGTACGTACGTACAGCAGAAGCCTGCAATTAAGGCATTTGAATGGTTCCTGGAATTCCTGTGGGGGAATTTATGCCGGAAACTGGTAACCTCCGATTCGGGTTAAATTGGCAGTAAATCGTCGCTTTTACTGTCCAGCGCGTTACGATAGTTTTTATGCTAGTTATGGATGCCAAAGGTACGCTACTTCTCCTGTTCCTTTTTAGATAGGTAGAAGAGATAGGATTACAAGGTCACATAATTTTAAGATCCTATAAATGGGTTCATCTTTTTTAACACTCCCTTCATCCTGAAAAATAATATGAATCTGTTTACTGATGAGTCAAACAATCCTAAATTTGATTAAATATTTATTGTTAAAAGTACTTAAATTTGTTGAAATTGTTTGGTCCTTGATAAGGGCTTTATAAGCGAGGCTTCCATTCTTCATAGGATGGGTGGAGTATAATCGGCAGCTCTATCTGGTTTGTTCTTTTAATAAACAACTAAAATGAACAACGGTGTAGAAAAGCATAAGCAATTAATGTGCTCTGTCATATATAAACACTTGCCATGTTAGTTTAAACTTTCTCAAAAATTGAAGCTCGTACTACACGGAGGGGCTCTCTCTCTCTTAATGAAACTCTGCTAAGGTATGTTCGTGAAAAAAAAATACTCTGGCCATCGCATTGTTACCGGGTGACGTTTCTGTTATATAAACCATCACCCAAAGAAATCGATGGGAGCCGTGGAGACGCCAAGGTCTTGCATGGTTCATTGGCACGTCAATGTGTTTATTATGTTGCCGTGCACTACTCAACCCATCGTGCCATGAAGTGGATCCAAATAAAATATGTTTTACTTATGTAATAAATTACAAAGAAGTGCATCCAAAACTCTTCCTTAAGAGAGAAGGCCAATCAAAGAAGGAAAGGAAAAAAAAAAGTAGCTAGGAACTTTAGCGCTTTTATATCGGGAGATATTATTATTATAATATATATATATATATATATATATAACTGTATATATATATAGAGAGAGAAGGTTCTTTAAGCAGCTGAGCACATGAAGATTTAGGTGAACATTACCGCGTTAGACGTAGCCATCGGCGGCGGTGCCACTTTGATGCGCCGTGCCGCAAAGTTGATGCAGACACACTATGATTATGATTAAGATTACGGTGCTACAGCTCGATCAGGCAGCCGGGCCGTGCTAATATAATCACCGTCCCACGTACAAAGGCACAGACTTAACGGGTAGACAACAGTGACATGATAGGATGATACCTCTCCGGTCATCCAGCGTCTTTATGCCTTAAGAGAGAGTAAATTACCTTGAATGATCAGCTGATTTGATAGGTACTCTCTTTGTTCTAAATTGTAAGTTATATGGGCATCCATCCTCCCGGGCTGGGCTGGTGGGTGGCCCAACAAACTGCTAGATGACTTCTACAACTTCTAAAAAATGGGACGCTTGATGACTTCCCGCTCCGCCTCGCCGTGTTCTCCACCACCGCACTTCACGCGCCGCCCGCTTCGTCGCGGCCGCCTCCACCACGCTACCCGCTTGCCACGGCCGCCTTCAACGAGCCCATGAGCCTCCTCCTCGTCATTGGGCTCAGCCACTCTGCTGATGGTGGCTGGTTGGTCTGGCCGGCCGACCCGAACCTCGGCGCATAAGCACTGAACGCCACGTGTGGCCAACCAACCAAGAGAGGGGGATTGTTGGTCGGCAAAATTGCCGAGATCTGACTACTGAGCCGCACCTCCATCCTCGGCCGCCCGGTTGTTCCCGCTCGCTCTGCGTCATCTGAGAAGAAGATTGAAAAACGCATGTTGCAAGCATATATTTCTAAATGTGTTTCGGATGTTGGAATGATTATACACGTATGTTGCAAGCGTTTGTTCCTAATGTTTCCTATGTGTTTTTAGATGTATGTTGCCAGTGTTTTTATCTGTATGTTGCATATGTTTTCACACATATGTTATAAGTGTTTTATTTAAACGTTGTGTATGTTTGCAATGGTTTTCTAGTGTTTTTCAGATGTTTTTTTAAGTGTTTCAGAAACATATTTCAAGTTTCATTTGTCTTTATACGTATGTTTGCAATTCAGTCATTGGCGCAGCCTCAGGTGGACCCTTGCGTGCCTAATGAGGCAGGATTGGACGACTTCCTTATTAGTATTGTTAGGCCGCGGCAACAGCGGCCGTCGATGTCTTAGCAGCTAGCCCGACACGACAACCACCTGTTGTTGATTTTAGCCAGCCCAAATCAGTCAGCCAATAGTGTTTTCTCTCACAATAAACCAACACCGGCCAGCTCAAATCAGCCCAGAAAGCGACCAACGAACAGGCCGAACGTTCGCTCACACACCAGCTCCGGAGCTCCCTCCCCTTGAGCAGCACGTCCTAATATGCACTGTACCACCTCATCTAATGGCTTATAATAAAAAACTTTTGTATTTTGAATGAGAAAAGGTTGGCAGGGAACAGTAGCACGCAGCCATATATCGCCAAACAGCAAAAAGGTTTTGCTGTTGCGGCTCTGCTTTTGCTCCCGTCCCGTGCACTGTAGTAGCCACCTGCCCTTTTTGCTGAAACCGGAGGCGACAGGAGCAGGAGACGGGCCAACCGTCGTCCAAGCAAAAGGACACGTACGTACGCCCAAAACGGGCACGCACGCCGCGTGCCAAACAAAGAAAACGCGCGGCAGTGGATCGAGAGGAAAGCCAAACGGGGACACCATCATTTGGTCGTCGTCAAAGAAGAAGGAAGAGAGGGGACTGGACTAGATTAGATTATGATGAGCAGTGCTGGCAGATTAGCGCTGGGTGATTAGATTTGAAGGTGGAGGTGGGCGATCGATGTCGATGTCGATGTCGATGTCGATGTGATGTGACTAGCGGCACTTGTCGCGTTGCGGTCCGGTCCGTCCTCGGGACCGTACGGAGTTAGCGAGCAGGCGGCAGGACACCACGGTCCGCTTCTCCACGCCTCCTTCCGTGGCTCCTCTCTTTCCAGCTTCCCCTCTCTTCCATGGTCCATGCATGCCTCCATGGACATCGCTCACCGCCTCTGGTAGTGATTGGACGTCGTGTCTCTGCCAACGCCATGACCCAGTGCCCATGGACCACCCGGTGGAAGTCGAGCTGGACACAGCAAGCAATGCGCGCCGTCCGTCCGTCCGTCCGGTCCATGGCTCGCACCGCAAGACCAAGACCGCGCGGAGCAACATTCCACGAATCATGCGCTGCACGGCCTCGGCCTGCCACCGCCGCATCGCAATGCATCGGGGGTGCGAAAAGGCGCCGAGCAGCTTGTTAGAAAGCATAGGCGATATAAACGACCAAAAACACTTCATCAAAGACGAGGCACACGATATTTTAATATGGAAAACTCTTTCGAGGAAGAAGAAAAAAATTATGGGCATCAACCAGCAAATCTTCACTATATCGAATAAGGTCACAATCATCAGAGATTTATAACTTTTCTTATCCTAAGACGACGGCTTACAGAAAGTATATATAGAGATTAAAAAACCCTAATAGGCGACTGTCGACGGAATATCGTCGGCAGTCCACCGAGGGGCACCCCGCGATGGTAGATTGATCGGTAGAGGAGCGTGTAATCGAGAACAAGAAGGCAATGAGAGACACACACGAGTTATCTGAGTTCATGCCGCTTGCACGACGTAATACCTTACTCTTGTGGTCTATTGATTTGCATTAGCTATCGTATGATTTGCCGTGAATTCGTAGGGGGTCCCTGCCCGCCTTATATGGTCCGGGGGACAAGATTACAAGTCGGTTAGATCTGAGAGATAACCAGAAAGTAATAACAGATTACAAGAAACATGGGATCGTATATATCCTATCAGATCTCGTAACATCTTTAGGATATACTCTCCGTGCCTTGCGGGGTCGCGCGAACGTAATCGTGCCCCGCAAGGCTCTTCTTCTTGGGAATTTGGGCGCCCTTGGAGGCATAGCCCATGTGACCTGCCGTGGGTATCCGGTCGTACCCCTACAGTTAGTCCCCGGCGCCTTTGTACCCGTTGCATAAGCGCCATCTTGAGACTTTCCGAAAGCGAGTGCGATCCAAGACCGAATTGTCCAAATCGTGGTCCGACCACCATAAGGAGCGACCAATCGGTTGTGAGCAAGCTGAAAGCGATGTAAAACATCGCCGAGCGGTGTGTTCGAACACGGCTTGTCATAAGGGTGTAAGGAGCTCAAGTCCAAAATTAAAAATTCCTACATGGTAAAGTGAAGTGTGCCCACTTAGAATCAAAAAACAATAGTAAAGATACCTAGTTTATCCTTTGGATGCTCGGAAGCTTTTAGAAAAAGCAGACACATTCACCCGCAAGATGAAGTGTGCCCACTTAGTCCCCGAGCACGACGATGGAGAGCGTAGTCACGTGGTGCCGAGCTCGTAAATTAGTGAACCGTCCAAAGCGGTAGCGGCCCCCGAAGTTTTCGCGAGATATCGGATAAATCAATTTCTTGGCGAGAAATTGAGTAACGTTCGATGCTCGATTACTAAGCCTCATTAGAATGCGAGAATTGAAGAAAGTGGCGGCGGTAAATCGGGTGGCGTGGAGCTCTTGACGCGATAGCCCAAGTTATGCCCATCAAACCAATTTGGAGGAATCGATGAAGCGCCGATCGTGGGAACGGTTCCCCAAAACCTCTCGAGTTAAAGCAGAGTGGGGGGGCGCTTTATAACCGCGCCGCCACTCATATCGCCTCCTACCTCCGTCAAACCACCCCGCTTCTGCCTTCACAATCCACGTGCTTCACCTTCCACATCAATCGTGAGCATTCCCTTCAACCCTAGACCAAACCATAGGAGATGGCGCCAAAAAGGAGCCAGAAGTCAAGAAATCGCCACCGGAGGTAGCCGCGACGAGGAGTGGGTGCCGTCGAGGACGTCGGCGGCTGATCTCGATAAGATGGTGGCGGCGGGCGTTATCCCCGATCGTCTTACTGCTGGATGGCGGCCAGCTAGCGGTGAGCCCTTCCCGACACCACATACTGACGAGGCTGTAGTATTTGAGGATTATTTCCGGCGAGGGTTAGGGTTTCCTGTCCACCCCTTTCTGAGGGATCTTATGGAGTTTTGGGCAGTTAGCCTCTGTAATCTGCACCCCAACACCATTCTGCATGTTTCTATCTTCATCCATTTCTACGAGGCATTTCTCGGTGTTCTGCCACACTTCAACCTCTTGAGCACTTGTTCATGTTCGAAGAAGAAGAAGGCGGCCGGTTCAAAGGTGGTCGGTGGCGTGTACTGCAATTTCGTGGATGGATGGCGGTGAGTATATCAACGTTCATTGAATACCTCATTGAAAGGTTGGAACTCTAGATGGTTCTATATCAAACAGAGTCACCCATTGATTCGATGCGACGTCCACTACATCTCGGTTAACCACAGTAACTGGTCGGAGAGACCCAACAACGCTGAAATGGAGCAGGTAATGGAACTTCTGGAATTGAGTAAAGGCTTGGAGCTTAGGGGTGAACTGGTTGCAGCTAGTTTCATAGTTCGGCGCATCCAACCCTGCAAAGAGAGGGCCCACCCGGCGTTCGACTATAAAGGTGACAACGATGGTACCCGTGAAAGCACGGACCGCCTGTCGAAGAAAGTAGTGATGGACCATGCCATGGATCTGTTTTCTTCGAATGTCTCATTCAGCTGGCCTAAAGGGACGAAGGCTTTCAACTGCACCAACCCGCCTCCTCAGGTAACCATTTCTCTTCGCGTCTATCAGGCAATAATTGCCGAGCATAGTACTAACTCACTTATGAAAAGATTCATTCGCAGGATAGGTCAATATACTTTTCAAACGTGCTGAGAGCCGATTGGCCAAAAGGAGTAGATCCTCGGCGCCTGCGCAGAAGATGAAGAAGGTGAGCCGAGCTCCTCGTCGGATAGTCCATCCCCGGCGTCAGAGAAGGTCCGCGGGAAGAGACCAGTAGTAGACGAGCCGGCCCAAAAAAGGAGAAAAACCGCCAGCTCTCATGCACACAAACCAGGAGGCATCTCTCTTGGAGAGGACCGAAAGCGATTCGGCCGCCACTGAATCTTTGTCTTTGGAGTTGTCA